CGGATAGAGGCCGCGCTGGGGGACCAACCGCTGTTCACTCCTAGTGGCGCTGTCAGGAATCTGGATCATCGACTATGTATGACATGCCGAATATCAAGATTTTCTGACATCCAATCACCACATAAGACTAAGTATAATCAACCTTTGTTCTTAAGTGAACTGCGTGAGTCTGTTTATGAATGAGGCTGACCAGGGAGGAAGCTGACTGTGAGTGGGCTGAGTGTAAGGGTCTAGAGTGCCGCGGGGGGGGGGTGCGGCCGGTGCGGGGCAGAGGACCGACTCAGCCAAACCGTGCTGCTTGTTTTGAAACCTCCTAGATGGGGTCGGGGTAGATGGGGGTGGAGGATCGCGCCGTATCGCCGATACATCGCCGATGTCTCGGCGATGCATCGGCGATGCACCGGCGACGTCGGCGATGCATTGGCGTCGTCGGCGTGGGGAAACACGGGCTCCACATCGAGCCGCATCGGCGATGCATCGGCGATGCAGCGCGATCCTCCGACCCCATTTGCTCCGACCTGGCCCAAATCTTTTTAGTCCCGAACGTCTCGCCCGGACGGATGCGGATGGAACTGCTCGCCCTCGCCGCGCTGCCGGCGCGGCCCGCGCCGCCCCGGCTCGGCGACGTCGCCGCCGCGCGCGGCGTGGCGGAGGGCGCGGCGTGGCCCGGCGAGAGGTGGCCCCGGGCCGCCGGGCCGCTCTGCACCGACGGGGCGGGCCTCCTGGCGCCGCCCTTGGCCTGCAGCGAGGTGACGGAGCCGCCGCCGCGCGAGGCGACGGAGGCGCCGCCGCGCGGGCTGCCCAGGCTGCCGCGGGACGAGGCGGAGAGCGCCCGGCCGCTCCTCGCGGGCTCCTGCGGGCTGCGCGGCGACAGCAGCCGCACGGAGGCCGCGGTCAGCGACGCAGGCGCCCTCGGCGAGGCGGCGCCGCGCGGCGAGGAGGCGCCGAAGGGCGCGCGCGCCGCGGCGGGCGCCGCCAGCCGCGAGGGCCCGCCGCGCCCCGCCTCGGGGAGCGCCGCGAAGGAGCGCCGCGCGGGCGCGCCGCGCGGGGAGCCCGGCCCCACCGCCGCGGGCGCGCCGGCCGCGCGCAGGGCCTCGAGCTCGAGCGCCTGCGCGGACAGCCGCTCGCGGGCCCGCGCCAGCTCCTCCCGCAGCGCCGCCGCCTCCGCCTCGGCCCGCGCCGCCTGCGCGGCGGCCTGCCGCACCCGCCGCGCGGGCCCCGGCTCGCCGGCCTCCTGGGGGCCCTCCACGGTCGGGATCTGCAGCTCCAGGCTCCACGGGTCGGGGTCGCCGGGCTCCCCCCACGGCGCCGGCCGGGCGTCCACCTCCCGGCGCAGGTCGCGGAGCGCCTCCAGGCGCGCGCGGAACTCCGCCTCCGACCACACGGCGCAGAGGGCGTTGGAGCCGGAGTCTGGTTGGGCCCACTGCGGCCCCGCGCGGGTCACGTCGTCGGGCAGCTCGGTGCGCCGCAGCACCACGGCCAGCTCGTTCTCCTTGTCGGACCCGGTGATGTCGTAGAGGACGCGGACCTCAAAAGCCATCTCGAAGTCCTTGTCGTCGCGCATCTCCTCTGTCGTCTCGTTGGCCTCGTCCGTCAGTCTCTTCAGGTCCTGCAGGCGCCGCAGCACCCCCGCCGCCCTCTCGGCGCCGATGCGGTCCTGCAGGTGGGAGACGTACTCCTTGGCCATCAGGCTCTGCGTGCTGTTCTCGACCGTGATTTGGTCGACGATGGACATGACCTTCTCCCTGTGGGGATTCCGTGCCTCTGGGATCACCACCTGGAAGCAGTGCGCAAGCCCCACGCGCAGCCTGTCCCCATCCTCGAGGCGAGCTTGCCCCACCACGCGTCCCATGTTCACCGAGACCTCGGCCAGCGATCTCGTCCCCGCCTCCGAGCGCCGGTTCGGCATGCTCATCGTCTTAGGCAGCTCCCCTCCTGGTGCGACTCCGCCTTGGCCGATCGGACGGAGGGAGCCAGCAGTAGGCAACAAGGGGGACTGCGACGGCTGCTGGCTGGAGCGGTGCACCTCCAGCGTGCAATTGTCGACGCAACGCACGGAGCAGGTCTCGGGTTGGGTGCCCATGCCGTCTATGCAGATGTCGCAGGCAGGGTCGCTTCCGATCAGCAGCACCTTGCCAGGTGTCAGCCAGTACCGCATCCTGCCTGACAGCAGCGGGTCGTCGCAAACGGTGACGAGGTAGGGGCTCGCTGCGGCCGGACCACCTTCTTTGGATGCGGCGGATAAGCAGCTGCCCTCCACGTTCACGAGCTCCGACGTGGAGGCCAGCGAGACGTCCGTGCCTTCCCCTGGGGGCCAGCCGCTGATCTTCGCGAGGGTCATGCGCCGCTGCCGGTTCGCCTCCACGGCCAGCCGCCGCTCTGCGTCCCAGGAGCGCGTGAACTCCTGCTGGATGCCCTGGGTGGCCTGGATCTGATCCTGGATGTCTCTGCCCACGTCCGATGAGGCTGCCGTCGACTGGAGCTGCTGCTTCAGTGTCTCGATCTCAGCCTGCAACATGCGGATGAGGTCTGCCTCGAACTCCTCGTTCTGCACCGGCTTGGTGTGCAGCTTCTTGACGGATTCTGCGAAGCGGATCGTCGACTCCGTCATCTCTAGGCAATCGGCGCTGGGGGAGATGCAAGCCAACATGGCCGTCCTGCAATTGCCCATCAACGACCCAGACAACAAGAAGGTGAGCTTGCTGTTGCGGTAGGGGATGTGCGTATCGCTTTTCGCTCCCTTGTGCTCCCGCGCTGCCAAGCACGAGATCATGTGGCTCAGGGCAGCCAGGCTCTTGTTGATCTGCTGGCTCTCCTTCTGCCTCTGCTCGTTGTTGCCGAGCTGCTTCATCCTCTCGGAGCCCGCCAGGTCCACGGCGTGCAGGTGGGCCCGCCGAAGAGCCGCCTGGGCAGTGCCGACCACCTTCCTCTCCACGTGCAGCGTGACCACCGCGTGGGACCGCGACGAGACCGCGTTCATGTTCGTGCAGCCCACCACGCGGATCTTGTGCCCAAAGTCCAGGAGCTGCGACACGTCCGCCGCGCTCTGCACGGTGCTCTTGGTGAGCCCCTCGATGAACACGCCGAACCGGGGATGCTCCCGGATCTCCAGCGAGGCGGGCTCTCGGAGGCCCCGGCCCTGCGAGGGCGCGGCCTGGAGCAGGTCGCGGACCTTCTCGTTGTACAGCTCCAGGTACGAGAGCCGCACCATGTGCTCGTCCTGCGTCTCGCGGGCCAGCTGCAAGAACAGGCCCTCCGCGATGCGGGGCAGCAGCCTGGGAGACCCTCGCCGCGGCCGCGAGTCCACTCCCCCCCCCCGCCCCCTTCCCCTCTCCACCTCTCGGTTGCGGGAGGAACAGGAGGAGGAGGAGGTGGAGGAGGAGGAGGAGGAGGACCAGTGTAAACCCAAGAGCCATCAACGATGCTGGAATACACCCTCCCTCCAAGCTCCCTCTTCATAGGCCCCATACAACGGTTCATTTCCATTGAGGGATCTGCCTCGTTGGAAGACAACCGTTTGAAGAGCGTGCCAAAACATTGTTCTCGGGATTCCAACGCCACGGATCAACCTGATTGTTGCGTCTTGACGATCCTTGATCGGGCCAGACAGCCATTCTTGGGTTATTAACGCCGCGAATCAACGTAGCTGTTGCGCCTGCAAAACCCTGAATCATTCCAAAACACAATTTCTGGTACGTTGATCGTGGGAATCCGTGAATCCCTTGCAGTTTTTGAAAAAGAATGTGTGCGGCGATAAGGCGAGAACCACATGTTGAAAAAGAACCACCCTCAATCCGTGCAGCTCTTGCAAATTTTTAGAATGAGTGTGCGCGGCGCTACAGCGAGAACCACATTTTGAAAACGGGTGATCCTCAATCCGTGAAGCTCTTGCAATTTTTCAGTCGGAATGTGCGCCGCGCTGAAGCGAGAGCCACATATTGAAAATGGGTGATGCTCAATTCGTGAAGCTCTTGCGAATTTATAGAAGGAACATGCGCGGCGCTCAGGCAAGGGCCACATTTTGAAAACGACCCGCCCTCCATTTGTGAACCTGTTGCCAATTTTTAATCTTCAGAATCATAAATGGTGAGGAAGTCTCAGGCGGAAAGCCCGGGCCGCCCTAAAAACTGGCTGGCTTCGGGGTGCGACAGGGAGACATCATTTACAAGGAACAGGAATGGAGGAGGAGGAGGAGGAGGAGGAGGAGGAGGAGGAGGAGGAGGAGGAGGAGGAGGAGGAGGAGGAGGAGAAGGAGAGGAGGAGGAGGAGGAGGAGGAGGAGGAGGAGGAGGAGGAGGAGGAGGAGGAGGAGGAGGACGAGGAGGAGGATGAGGAGGCGGAGGAGGAGGAAGAGGAGGAGGAGGAGGAGGAGGAGGCGGAGGAGGAGGAGGAGGAGGAGGAGGAGGAGGAGGAAGAGGAGGATGATGAAGAGGAGAAAGAGGAGGACGAGGAGGTGGACCAGAACGACGCTGGAGCTGGGGATGCCTGGGGCCGGCTCCACTTGGAGCGAGGGGAGGAGAGGGGAGGGCGGTGGGCGGGGATTGGACTAGCGGGTGCAACGGTGGTGCCCCACAACCCCCGGTCCCCGCTCCCTCCGCCGAAGACGGTGTGGCTCTTGCCGGCGCCCGTCTGCCCGTACGCGAACACGCACCCGTGGAATCCGTTCACCACGCTCTGCACCACAGGCTGTCCGAGGTGCTCGAAGACCTGATCCTGCCCGCAAGCCGGGGCCAGCACGTGATCGAAGGAGTGCACGACGGGCTTTCTGCCCCGAGGCACCAACTGCAGGCTGCCCCCTCGCTCGCCTGCGCACCTCACTGCCTCGGAGGCTCCATTTCGCTTCTCGGTGGCGTTGATAGGTCGCACCCGAACGCACACCTTGATGCTGTCGTGGCCGGGCTGCATGTGGTCGCCGCCAGCTGAAGCGGAACCAGAGAGAGTGGCGGCGCTAGGGGCCCAAGCTGGCGAGCTGGGGCACCTGAGCCCATAGGCTGAAGTCTTATGCGCCAGCGAGCCTACAGGAGCGGGTGCGACCGTCGGCTCGTCCTCACAAGTCGGATTCACAGACGCAATCGCAAGCCGCGCATGCGCTTAAGATGTACACACGTGCTAGAGCCACGCGCGTGAAGCTCATAATTATCATTTCCAGACGCCTAGAAGTCACGGGACTGCGTTCCAGATCTCAGAAGTCCTGTTCTTTTCAGCGATTATCTGGGCCCCAGAGCCCTCTATCCCGTCCCTGGGAGCTGTCTTTCGCTGCGGGCATTTTTTTGCTGGCCCCGAGGCCCGAGAAATCTCCCCACCAACGCCAAGCTTGTGGAAGAACGCCGGTCGCATATGTTGATTTGTTTGCTTGCTTTTTGGTTTCCCATACGTACGTGCTTACACACGTATGTTTACACATGCTTCATCTATTCGATGTGCTTATATTTATATATACATGTGTACACATATATGTATACACATCTATAATGTTAGACATATAGTTCGATATACTTATATCGAATTATAAATAATATGCATATACGTAGATCGCGGTGCCTTCAGGGACTGCTGCTCTTCTTTCGCATTCCCAGACATCCAACATGCTTTTTATCGCGATGAGCCCCTCCAGACCTCTTGACACGATCCCTGGGGCTGATGTTCCGTCGCTGGTACTCTTTTGCTGCCCCCAGCGCCTGGCTGTGGCCTCGTGGAGCCCAAACTCATGGAAAGTATACCGCCGTGATCTTCTCATGACGCTGGGGGTCTGGGCCTGGAAGCCTGGGGCCGTTGCCGTCTCCTCCTGACGGGCACGCTGGCCCGGTAGGTGGTGTCCTGCGGCGCGCAGAGGGGTGCCTTTGCGAGGGGAGATGCGGGCTTCCTGCAAGGGCGCGAGGGCTTCCAGAGAAGGCCTCCTCTCGGCGAGGCGCAGCCGCTGGAAGGCATCCTGGGGTTGGGGGAAAAACCAACAACCAACGAACACTCCCGAAAACCTCAAACCTCGAACCCCCCTGGCAGCCAAGGAGCGCGTCCCACTCCTCCCAAGAGCCGCTCCCCTCATCGCGCCGACCCCTCCGACTGCGCGCAGACGGCATGGGTGCAAACCTGTGCATGGACCCTCCGAGAGGCCGCTGCCACTTTCACGGAACGGAGCACGGCGGAAAGAACGAGGAGGAGGAGGAGAAGGAGGAGAGGAGGATGAGGAGGAGGAGGAGGAGGAGGAGGAGGAGGAGGAGGATGAGGAGGAGGAGGGGGAGGAGAGGAGGAGGAGGGAGGCGGAGGCGGAGGCGGAGGCGAAGGAGGAGGAGGAGGAGGAGGAGGAGGATGAGGAGGAGGAGGAGGAGTAGGAGGAGGAGGAGGACGGGGAGGGTGATGCTGATGATGATGCTGCTGCTGATGATGATGATGCTGCTGATGATGATGATGATGATGATGATGAGGAGGAGGATAAGGAGGACAAGGAGGAGGATGAGGAGGAGAAGGCGGCGGAGGAGGAGGAAGAGGAGGAGGAGGGGGAGGAGGAGTAGGAGAAGGAGGATGAAGGGGATGAAGATGAGGAACATGAGGGAGGGAGAGGAAACGGAAGGAGGAGGAGGATGAAGGTAAGGATGAGGAGGAGGTGGAGGGGGAAGATGATGATGATGAGGAGGAGGACGACGACGATGATGACGATGATGATGGTGAGGAGGAGGATGAGGAGGTGGTGGTGGAGGATGATGAGAACGAGGATGATGATGATGCTGCTGCTGATGATGATGATGATGATGCTGCTGATGCTGATGATGATGCTGATGATGAGGAGTAGGAGGAGGATGAGGAGGAAGAGGATGAGGACGAATAAGAGAAGATAAGGTGGATAAGGAGGACGAGGAGGAGGATGAGGATGAGGAGGAATAAGGGGAATAAGGGGAGGAGGAGGAGGAGGAGGAGGAGGAGGAAGAGGAGGGAGAGGAGGAATAATAGGATGTTGATGATGATGCTGAGGAGGAGGAGGAGGAAGAGGAGGAATAGTAGGAAGATGATGAGGAGGATACGAATGAGGAGGACGACAAGGAGAAGGAAGGATGCGGATGAGGCGGAGGATGAGGAGGATGAGAAGGAGGAGGAAGATGAAGAGGAGGAGGAGGAGGAGGAGGAAGAAGACTGCGACGAAGAGGAGGAGGATGAAGAGGAGGAGGAGGAAGAAGAGGAATAGGAGGAGGATGAGGGAGCGAGAAAGAGGATGATGATGATCAGGAGAAGGAGGATGATGAAGAGGATGATGAGGGGGAGGAGGAGGAGGCGGAAGAGGATGATGAGGAGATGGAAGACACAGAATATGAAGAGGAGGTGGGGGGTGAGAAGACAGAGGAGGAGGATGAGGAGGAGGAGGATGAGGAAGAGGCGGAGGAGGAGGAGGATGATGAGGATGAGGATGAAGAGGAGGAGGAGGAGGAGGAAGAGGAGGAGGAGGAGAAAGATGATGAGGAGGAACGATGATGAGGATGAGGAGGGGGATGACGATGATCATGCTGAGGAGGAGGAGGAGTAGGAGGAGGAGGAGGAATATGATGAGGATGATGCGAATGCGGAGGATGAGGAAGAGGATGACGAGGAATGTGATGAGGGAGATGAGGATGATGAGGAGGATGCTGATGAGGAGGCGGATGACGATGATGATGATGCTGATGCTGATGATGATGATGATGCTGATGATGTTGATGACGAAGACGATGATGATGATGATGATGATGATGATGATGCTGATGATGATGACGATGAGGAGGAGGAGGAGGAGGAGGAGAGGAGGAGAGAAGGAAGCAAGAAGGAGGAGGATGAGGAGGACGAGGAGGAGGAGGAGGAGGAAGAGGAAGAAGAGAAGGAGGATGAGGAGGAGGAGGAAGAAGAAGAGATGCGGATGATGAGGAGGATGAGAAGGAGGAGGAGGGGGAGACGAAACATGATAATGAATAGGAGGAGGAGGAGGAGGAGGAGGAGGAGGAGGAGGAGGAGGAGGACGAGGAAGAGGAGGCGGAATACGATGATGATGCTGATGATGCTGCTGCTGATGATGAGGAAGAGGTGGAGGAGGAGTATGAGGAGGGGGATGATGATGATGCTGCTGCTGCTGATGATGATGATGATGAGGAGGAGGAGGAGGGGGAGGAAGAGGAAGAAAAGGAAGAGGAGGATGCGGATGATGATGATGATGATGATGATGATGATGATGATTGATGATGATGATGATGATGATGATGATGATGATGATGATGAGGAGGAGGAGAGGAGGAGGAGGAGGAGGAGGAGGAGAGGAGGAATCGGTGGGGGAGGAAGAACATGAGGAGGAATAGGAAGAGGAGGAGGAGGAGGAATGAGGAGGAGGAGGAAGAGGAGGAGAGGAGGTGGAGGAGGAGGAGGCGGAGGAGGAGGAGGAGGAGGAGGAGGAGAGGAGGAGGAGGAGAAGAGGAGGGGCGGAGGAGGAGAAAAGGAGGAAAGGTGGAGGATGAAGAGGAGGAGGAGGAGGAGGAGGAGGAGAAGAGGAGGAGGAGGAGGAGGAGGAGGAGAGTAGGAGGATGAAGAAAGGAGGAGGAAAAGAAAGGAGGAGGATGAGGAGGATGAGGAGGAGAAGGAGGAGGAGGAGGAGGAAGAAGAGGAGGAGGAGGAGGAGGAGGAGGAGGAGGAGGCAGAGGAGGAGAAAGGAGGAACGGTGGAGGACGAAGAGGAGGAGGAGGAGAAGGAGGAGGAGGAGGAGGAGGAGGAGGAGGAGGAGGAGGAGGAGTAGGAGGAGGAGGAGGAGGGAGGAGGAGGAAGGGGGGAGCAGGAGGAGGAGGAGGAGGAGGAGGAGGAGGAGGATGAGGAAGAGGAGGAGGAGGAGGACGACGAGGATGAGGATGAGGAGGAGGAGGAGGAGACGGATGGGGGATGCGGAAGAGGAAAGGAAGGATGAGGAGGCTTGTTTCTGTAAAGCATCGCCAGCGGGCAGAAACTGTTGTTCTTGATTAAATTAACCTGGCGAAGGATCCAACCGTATGCAACTGTGAGTACCGCAGTCGTGAAAAACATTTTCGGTGGAGCTCCGTATGGGGGCACGAGACGTGTGAAGGGTGTGCCAAACTGGGATGGCGGCGGCACACGGGCGCTGCCACTGGGGCCTTCGGTTGAGTTTCCTATAGGGCCTTCGGCGGGGTTTCGTCTGTCCGTGATCAGTTCGATGGGGGGACACGAGGAAAACTAGACCGTCCAATCTGGCCTTTTCCTTCTTTTTCTCCCTGTTTGCCCGCGCGCTCCACAACCCAATGCTGCGGGCGCAGCGCAGCGCGGAGTCCCCGCGACGCGCTGGTTGCCCTGAGAGGATTCCAGTGACGCGCGCGGGTCGCCCGCTGCGCGAAGCCAAACGGTTGGACAATCGAGCGAAAGTGCTGCTCGGGCGGGCCAGCTCCCCAGGTCAGGCCTCACGGATAAACTCGGTAAAGCCTAGTTCCATGGCGAGGGCCGTCGCCTCCCTTCTGCACCGCTTCCTGCGCGACGCAAGCTGCTTCAGATGCCTGCGCAAACCCTCCGGCGGCCTGGCGCCTTCGGCCCAGCGCCCGACAGGGCCGCGAGCCGTGTGAGGGGTGCGCGGGAATTAACATGCGGCGGGCGGGGTGGGCGCATGTGGACGCTGCCACTGGGGCCTTCGGTGGAGGTCCCTCTGGGGCCACGAACTGCGAGAGTGGTGTGCCGAAGTGGTCATGCGGTGGGCGGGGAGGGCGCATGTGGACGCTGCTACTGGGGCCTTCGGTGGAGCTCCCTATGGGGCCACGAACCGTGTGAAGGGTGTGCCGACATGGGCATGCGGTGGGCGGGGAGGGCGCGTGGGGACTCTGCCACTGGGGCCTTCGGTGGAGCTCCCCATGGGACCGCGAACCGTGTGAAAGGTGTGCCGACATGGGCATGCGGTGGGCGGGGAGGGCGCGTGTGGACGATGCCACTGGGGCCTTCAGTGGAGCTCCCCGTGGGACCACGAACCGTATGAAGGGGTGCGCCAACATGGACACGCG